GGATCTTTGATTATTTATTATTATTATTGCAAATAACGCTGAGTAATTACACAATGTATAAAAACCAGCATTTGCCAAATGGAATGAAGAATGAGGAACGAACGGGAGTGAGGTGCTGATACGCATGCAACTGCAGAATAGGCTTTGATAGTTTAAAAAAATACTTTAGTACATACAGTCATGCAATATCTTGATACGACTTAATGTACAATACTCTCCCTCTGCTGTGTGGCCATCTATTGGTCATGCTTATTTTGAGCTGTGCAACAGGGCATACATCCAGTACACTGCTAGTTTGCTTTGTCAGTGGTAGCAACGCAGCAGCAGTTATAGCACCCATATTACTACATGCACAGTCTAGTGGACGTAACAGGTCTACATTTTCAGCGTAATGCTAGGGCTTCAAGCCTTGGTGCTGCTGCTGCTACTGCTTGCTGGAGTGTCTATAGTGCAGACTGCAGGGCATGTGTAGGGGGTGCATTGGTGGCTTCTTTTCTTCCCTGGTTTTGCACTGCAACTGTCTGTTTGTGTATGTTGTGTGTCTGTTCGTGTGTGTGTGTGTATGTTGTGTGTCTGTTCGTGTATGTGTGTGTTGTGTGTCTGTTTGTGTGTGTGTGTGTGTGTGTCTGTTTGTGTGTGTGTGTGTGTGTGTGTGTGTGTGTGTGTGTGTGTGTGTGTGTGTGTGTGTGTGTGTGTGTGTGTGTGTGTGTGTGTGTGTGTGTGTGTGTGTGTGTGTGTGTGTGTGTGTGTGTGTGTGTGTGTGTGTGTGTGTGTGTGTGTGTGTGTGTGTGTGTGTGTGTGTGTGTGTGTGTGTGTGTGTGTGTGTGTGTGTGTGTGTGTGTGTGTGTGTGTGTGTGTGTGTGTGTGTGTGTGTGTGTGTGTGTGTGTGTGTGTGTGTGTGTGTGTGCAGTGTGAACTGGAAGGAAGACGTCTTCATGAACTTCCCCAAGCCAGGTGAGCTCCATGCGCAAGTTAGGCAGCGGTGCCTGAGTTTACATTACCTTCTATCATTCTCTGGATAATTGGATGTGGACACTGTGTTGAAAGTCGACACACATTTGTAACATGTGTTTACGGGACCGTCCAAGGTTACCAATAATATTTTCAAAACGAAAAGATTTCGTTTGGGGCTGGGTGGGTTTGATGGAGTTTCGTTTTGAAAATAATAACTGCAGATGGAGAATGCCCAGTTACTTCTGGGTGTCGAAAATTGACATCAGTATTTTATTGGAATTCGTTTTACTTGCAGAAAAAGTGGGTGGGGGCTGAAAATACTAAAACTTTTCGTTTTGTAAAAACAATCGGTAACCCCGGACGGCCCCCAATAGCAAAAGTACGAAAACCAGAGTCAGGGACGATTTTAACAGTGGCAGGAATTGTGGTATTTGTGGTATTCCGGACAATTACGGCTTCCATGCCCAATCAAACAATGACATGAACAACGAATGTGGCTGTCCAGAACCCGTCTGCAGAGTTTCACACTCTGGTCGGTGTACTCTTGGCCAATAGACAGACAGGGTGTTTCACACGGAGGGAAGAACGGCCTGAAGAGGCATCTGGAAACTGCAGCTGATGTCTCAGCAACAGTTTTGAATAAATTTGAGTATGTTCGGCTGCTGGCTATTCTTATCTCAGGTTGGCTAAGGTTTTGCGTCTGTACCGGATTCTGGCAAAACCTTGTCCTAAGCTAGTGTGCTTGAGTGTCTTTTTTAAGGAGTCTATGTTAGTTTTGTGAAAATTGATTGCGACCCGGTCACGTTGCTGGACTATTTGCACCTGTGTTCTGAAACATTAATTGTTGTTTTGTCCACCTGCAGGTCACTTTGATATCACCGAGGTGATGCAGAGTGAACGTTTCTTCAGTTAGAAGCTACCTTGATACCAGTGATGTACCGAAGAGGCAGCTTTCCTTCCGTTAGGTATGGATAAATAGTCCACTTTCTATAGTCCACTTTACATAGTTATTTTTATGAAACACATACCACAACAGTTGATTTTTTCCTTTTCCTTTTCTTTCTTAAACTCGCGTATTATAATTTTAGATGTGCTCTCTTCTTGACCAACTATTGTACAAACCTAATCATGTGTGCCCAACTAACGAATTGGGTGGTGCTAGTTGCACTGCAATGTAGCAGCAGCAGCAACAGTATGGTGTCTGTTTGTGCATGTGTGCAAGTCTGTCTGTATATGCCTGCATGTGTGTGTACGATTGTCAATAAGGGTCCAAGGCCACATTGTGCAAAGTATGTTGTGTTTGGCGAGGGATTGAGGATGAAGTGGTTCGTGAGAACGACTTTACTGAGAGGCGCCACAGGTGACAAGAATGTTGCTTGGAGCGCGCAAGTTTAGCTATGATGTTCATGTGAAAGTTATGAAGCGAGCAACCAAGGGCGTGTTGATAGATGTTTTGGGACTATTACTCTATTTTACTCGCACTCGGTGATAACCCGATGCCAGGTTATCCAACCTTAAAATCCCAAGTTTAAAATTGGAAATAATCGATGCGGTAACAACAATTTTAAGATAGCAATACCGAGAACAAATTCTGCTGTCATTGCCACACAACAACGAAGTCATGAAAGTTTTCCAAAATCGATTTTCATGTCACATTCATCAGTGGAATGTCGTGGCTGAAGACTATCCATACTAGAGCGCACAATGTCGTCTTTGAGGAATACTCTTTCTATTGCTAATGAATGATATGCACGGGCTTTCTGCACCCGTTTTTGGTTGGAAGTAGGACACACACCATTTTCCCGACAGCTCTTTAAGAAGATAATATTGTATGAAATGCTTCTAGCTAAGCAGTGCTTGTGCAGAGCATCATTCAGGATCTCGACCTGACTCCTAGAGTATCTCCGTTTACAATATACAAATAATCGACGCGGAATACTGGAATACTGGAATACTGGAATACTGGTAGCAATATATTTTAAAATACTGGTAGCAATAAAGAGAACAAATTCTGTTATCATCGCTACACTTTCATGACTTCGTTGTTGTGTGGCGATGCCAGCAGAATTTGTTCTCTGTATTGCTATTAAAATTGCTGTCTCCGCGTCGATTATTTGCATTACGCTCGGACGTCTCTTATCCGGGCACCTTGGGACCGGGCACTGCCCGTATCTCAGATTTGCCCGTATCTCAGGATAACTCATCGACCATGTATCATAATCATTTTTGAAGAAGTTTATTTGGAACGTATTGCACATGTTCAGGATACAAAAGGAACCCATTGATAAAAATGTGTGGATTGCATAGGTTGGCAGTGAAAAATAAGCACTTCCTCATATGGAAAAAGTTCAAAACCCCCAAATTCGAAGCATTTGTGCTATAGGAACTCAAGCTGAAGGTGCCCGGTAAAGAGACGTGCCCGTATCTGAGGCGTCCGGATAAGAGACGTTTGAGTGTATTATAAACGGAGATACTCTAGGAGTCAGGTCGAGATCCTGAATGATGCTGTGCAAGCGCTACTTAGCTAGAAGCATTTCATACAATATACCTTCTTAATTAAAGGGCTGTCGGGAAAATGGTGTGTGTCCTACTTCCAACCAGAAACGGGTGCAGAAAGCCCGTGCATATCATTCATTAGCAATAGAAAGAGTATTCCTCAAAGACGACATTGTGCGCTCTAGTATGGATAGTCTTCAGCCACGACATTCCACTGATGAATGTGACATGAATATCGATTTTGGAAAACTTTCATGACTTCGTTGTTGTGTGGCGATGACAGCAGAATTTGTTCTCTTTATTGCTATTTTAAACTTGGAAAGTACTTGATTCCTATTTTTTTTTAAGTAGAACTGTGTCAAATGGATATTCCGCCAGTCACATGCTAATCTGTGAGACCCGTCAGCCTTTGTCACACAAAAAAAGGGTTGGAGTACCGCATGATGACTTAACTTGGCTGGATGTAATCTCGACATAGAAGCTCTTTTAATTGGCGCTAGACTCGAACTCAGATACGGTAATTCAGGTTTCGATAGACGGAAGTCCACGTGCGATGGTGGAGTCTGACCGGGTTATACATCAATTCCATGGTTGACCTCTTGGCAAGCCATCTGCTAGTCCGTCCGGTGTCATCGCATTGGTCCAGGTTGTTGGTGAGTTGTTGCTCTTGCTCCTTGGAAGGCTTGGTGAAGTGTGCTAGTGTGTTGGCGAAAGATTCTGCAGCTCTACTCTAGCAAGGTAGCAAGCACAGTGCACCATGCCTCAGCTCCTTTATAGCCTGCTTTCCGGATATGCCCCAGGAAATTTGACCCTGCCGTAACTGGCTTGAGTTCCAGCTCCGGATGGCTGGCCGATGCGAATGTCACTTTGCTTGATATGTTCCTCAACACGTCAGGTGATGATGGTGCTGAATTTCCAGCGATTAAAGTTCTGCCACCCAAGGATAGACAGTGTGTCTTGAAGTCAATGCTACTTGTAGGATTTTGCTGGACGCAAAACTTACGGCATTCAGCTTTAGTACAGTGTAGGCCATCATAATATTATTATCATCATCCTTCAACATCCAGAACATAACAAGAGTGACTGAATACTTTGAAACATCCACCGTTACCTCAAGGGGGGGGGGGGGGTTACTGTAGTTATGTACATGGTTGTGTATCCGTACTTCGACGTATGGCACCAGCCTTGGTAAAGCATAGAGGATCCCCAGACTGGGAAGGCTTGTTGCTGTCTTGCCCATGATGAATTTTAGAAATCAACAAGTGGGAGTGGAACTGCAATCCAATATTGGCAATAGCAACAGAGCTGTCTCACCGCGGGTGTGTACGATGGTGTACACAGATCATTGTCATGACTAGCATCCACACTGATCAGGAGTAGACACAACCCCACTCTGCCTAGCATCCCATGTAATGAGGATAGGAAACCAGGAGAGCACTTGAAGGTGTTTGCCGTTCCGCCATTGGTTGTTGAACCGCTACGTCCACTGGTGGATGGCATTTGGGCCCGGACTATGCCGTCCAAAATGGCCAGAACGGCGACAACGGAAGTATCGTCGTCTCCCGATCCCCCTCTCTCTCTCTCTCTCTCTCTCTCTCTAATCAGCCGCAGACGTTCCTGAAGACCAGGAGCTAGGAAGTCGTATAAACTAAGTTACTTTACGGCATTCTTGCAGTGTAGGATTATCGACTCTCGATCCCTGCTGATCAGGACCGACCGGCGGCGGTAAACTGGTGTAGACTGATCACGGCGCCGGCGGCATTACGTGCTGATCGTCTCTACTACTCTGCTCTGTAATCATGGTAATATCCGTGTGGCCAGGTCCACTGCGCATCTGGCTGCACGAACAGCATCTTGTACTTGTAGTTGTCTAACTAAGTTACTTGTAGCCTCGGGATGTTGTTGTAGGCTCTACAATCAGCTGGCGAGCGCTTGTGTGATGACCGTGACTTTGTTGATCATCGACGTCTGGTGTCGGAAGTGCTCAGCTGCTGGCTGAAGCACAGTCAGTCCAGAGTTCCGCCTTGCTTTATGTGCACCAGCTTCATACTGCCGTTCCGAGTTGCCGTGTTTAGGCCCGAGGGCAGCAGACAACAACCGTCCTGTCAAACCAGTTTGCAGGCCCGGCTGTCCCAGGTACGTCGCTGGTGTGGATAAACGACAGCTTCGCATTTCCTAGCGGGTAGGTTCCAGCGAAAGCAACCGCTTCTCTGGAGACAGATTTCGATTGGCAAGGGCTTCTTCCACGTCAAATGCCCGTGCCTTGAACTGGCTGGAGTCAGGGTCATCATACGTTTGCGGTTCTGGCCCCAACTTGAGCGGAACGTCAGCCAGTGTCACGGAAGAAGACGAGGCAGGTGGGGATTTCAATAACGTTATAAGATTCTGCAGCGCACACGGTAGGCATTGGAGAAGTCAATCCTTCTTGACTCGAATCAATCACCAGAATGAATAGAATGGATGAAATCAACTGAAGATAAGCAATGGAAACTGAGGGGCGTGAAATACAAAGGTGTGAGAAGAAAGAGCGTGCAAATGTACAGAGTGCCAAGACTCAAGAGTCACGGTAGATCTACATGCCACAATATTAGGCGAGAGTGCTATAGCTCTATCTGGTGAAGGTGACGCATGCTACAATACCACAGAATCCACCAGTGCCACCACACAAAATTTACAGTGCTGGCAACTGAAATCCGACCCCCCCCCCCCCCCAGCGGTGCGCTCACATCGCAAAGAATGTGAACCCACCGCTCAGGGGGTCGGATTTCAGTTGCCAGCACTATAGTAACCATCCTCTGCTATGAGCACTGGGGGGGGGGGGGGGGGGCTGGTGAGTGAGGACTGACTGAGTGAGGATGAAGACCAGGGAGTCGTCAAATACCGGTCAGGGAGTCGTCAAATACCGGTATTTGACGACTCCCTGATGAAGACTGAAGACAGTGAAGTGGTCCAAGCAGAACGGCTCATCATTGATGCCTTAGCGGGGGGGGGGGGGGGGGGGGGGGGGGCGCCAACGGGTGACAAGAATCCGGCATGACGCACAAGTGAAGGTGTGATGTTCATGTGGAAGCAAATGACTACTCAGCAAACGGATTGAAGTGTTTGTCACGGAAGTGTAACTAACGTTACTTGATAGACCCAGCCGTGATCATGGTGATGGCAACAGGCAGCATTCAGCATGATTTCTATTTGTTGACAATCTGAATCATGTGAATGGGTCCTGCTAAGCCGGCAATCGCATGCTCACCATGGAGTATTCTCTGCGTGTTCACAAGACCAGGGCAGGGGCATAGAGCCTACAGTCAGTGTTACATGTAATGTACATCAGTAATCATTGTAGATACAATCAAGTCATGTAGATCTAGGTGTAGAGCCCAGTAGGGGGGGGGGGGGGCTCCCTGCACGACATCAAGACAAAAGCTTCAAAGTGGATGAAATCCCTTCCCATGTCGGCGGAAAAGTTACTTCCGCACAGCTGTAGGCACGTTGCCACTTTTACAGCACAGCAGAAATTACCGGTACATAGGCAATGAATTCCAACAAATCATAGGTCCTCTCTCTCTCTAGAATAAGTCTTCAATCTATACATCATAAACAGTCTGGCTGTCTCAGTGTCTGCATCATTGAGTCAGTACATGTACATGTATATATAATTCTAATATCAAGAGTACATAAAAAAATAAAAGTAAAGTTAGCCGGATTCGCGGCCGAATCATCCGGCTGACGTGTTGAGGAACACATCAAGCAAATACATTCGCATCGGCGGCCAGTACATAACCCCAGGGTTAACCCCAGGGTTATGTACTCTTGATAATATTCTGTCCCCCACAGGATACCGCGATTCTGCCGACGTGCAATTTTCCGCGTTATTGGCTTTCATCCGCGTTTTCGAGAGATTTTGCATAACACCCGCGTTATTCGTGGGAATAGGCCCCCGCGTAATATGCCGGCATTTTTTTGAGCATTTTCGGTACAATCCGCGAACCCAACACTTTGGGCTCGTGATGCAGCATTTTGGGGGAAACGGAGCACTTGGCCGCTGTGTATCAAAATTGAAAGAAGAGAAACTTCCCAAACAAGAACGTCACTTCCGCATTCCGTGGGTTAGCTTCTTGTTGAGTAGTTTATTAATTGAAAATATGGTTTTGACCAGGGAGTCGCAAATACCGGTATTTTCTGACTCCCTGGTTTTGACGGCGTGTGCTGAGGATTACAAAAAAAGTGAGCATTTTCCGAGCATTTTCGGCAAGGTTTACAAGAATTTCCCAAAAGCATTTTCGGCAAAGTTTCGGGCATAATACGCCGGGCCCTATATGGGAATGTACAAGAAAATAGTACATGATGTTGGAAATGTACTACAAAGTCATACCGGTCCATGAGTTTGTACGACAAAGTAATTACAACTTTAGCGTGGAGTTTCATACAAGTGTACAACATAGTTGTACACTTGTATGAAACTCCATGCTAAAGTTGTTCTTTACTTTTTTTATTCGGTATTACTAAATAGAAGGCGGAGAGCGCTCTCTACCTCTCGAACCCAAACGTGCCGGCCTTAAAAAAAAGAAGAAGAAGTCATTGCACGCTAAAAGTTTTACAAATGACAGATTAGCTTCCGCCTTCGTTCCTGCTCTACGCACACGTCTCACGAACACACTGTCAATCCACTAATTCACTTGTTTTGCCCAGAGCACGCTCTCGCTATGGTCTTTTTGCCGTAAGCTTTCTCTCCTCTGACCGCTGGAATGCCCTCCCAGCTGATATTCGCTCTTGCTCCTCTTATTTGCAGTTTTGTCACGCCGCAGTCTTCGTTTTCACATAGGGTACCCTGTAAGAAGGCCCTAGGCCTGTGGGGATTGCCCTATTCAAAATTTAATGATAATAATAATAATCACAATGAATCCATATATTATGGATTCAAGTATTGGCTACAGTGGAGTCTCCAAACCTTGAGAAAATAATCACAATGTGTACAGAAAAAATGACAGAGAACTCGACCGCCTTATACCACATATTTGGCACACACTAGTAATGGCCTGTTTTCGCCCGCATAATTATGCGTATAATTTTAGGATTTTGCCGCGTTATTCTGTGGGGACAGAATATTATAATTATGCAATACCGGTATAGTATAAGGGGGCGTTCGTTTTGATCTACAGGTTTGGGTAGAAACTACTTTCGGTAGTTTGTTTTTTGAAAAAATTCTACTCAAAAGGGTAGATTCTACTTTCCTCTACCGGCTCTACCAGGAAAAAAGTTGGTAGAAGCCGGTAGAGCTACGGGATTTCCAGCAAGATCAAGGATTTGTACATAACTCCATACAAAAAAAAAGAAACAGTATACATCGTGAAAAAATACACTGTACTAAGGGTGCGTTCTTAAATCCTCTCGGAAAAGTTGGAGACTCTCCGAAAAGTTCGAGAGCTGTTCTTATCCTCTCCGAATTTTAGGAGGCTCTCCAAAGCTCTCGAAGCTCTCCAAGCTTCAGAGGTGGTTGAAACTCGGAGATTCCCGCGGTTTCGGATCAGCGCATGCGAACTAGGCTAAAAGCCACGTGTTGATCATGAGTGTACGCATTTCCCTTTTCGCATACGCACAGCGCATACTATTTCCGTGGCACTCAAGATCACGGTCCCTTTGGCGCTCCATTTTGCTTGACATCTGCAAAATATCTCCGAATTCTTCGAGACCCGTTCTTGAAGAATCCCAGTTTCTTCGACTTCTCTTTTCTTCTTCTTCTAGAAGCTGGAGAATTTAAGAACGCACCCTAAATCCGGTAGAACAACATTCGAACGTTCATGCACTTACTTCTACCATCTACTAGTACCTCTATCGGTAGAGTGACTCTACTCTACTTACTCTACCAGTTAGCTAAACACGAAAGCAGCCTACAACAACAGTAGGTGTAAGTTGCATACTCGTCCTTGTTTTACAGCAAGAGTACATAACGTCGGGTTATGCTAGCAGGGAGGGATTTTCATGGCCTCACCTGTACGCCAGGTATACCATACTTCAAGTACAAGTGCAGGTATATCCCCGCGTACACCACAAAGCAGGCTACTGTACTGAGATGTGCACTGCAGGCAATCCTAAGCGACACCAAGAGTACAAAACCCCCTGGGGGTTATGTACTCTTGGGGACACGGACTAGCACAAACACACCCACACTACACACAACCGAACTCCAAAAGCATGCTTCACGACAATGCCAAAGTCATCCGTCACATTTTAGTTGTTGCTGCTTTCAAGTGGCAGCTATTTGCCTAGACAACTCCGCTAATAAAGTTAAATCTTGAATGACAGGACTGATAAGCTGAAGGATAAATAAGAAGCCTCTAGAATGGCGATAGAACTAACAAGGAAATGTGAGGGGAAGTTGTAAAACAGTCGCATCCACTAGGATAGATGAAGAGAAAGGCGTAAAGAAACGACTAAAGTACATTATGTGCAGGGCACGTTTGTGCATGCCAGTCGCCGGGGCAAGCTGCTACTACTACTACGAGTACTTTCAGCAAAAGGGAAGCCGTCAAGTCAGCCAATAAGCATGCCCAGGCAATACTATTGGCATAAAATATTATTAAATATTTTATAGCAAAGATAAAAAAATGCCAATCAGACGTGGGAGCAGAGGACCACTAGCAGACTAGTTTTGCGCCTGCTACAGCCGAGCCTTCCATAGCAGTGAGGAGGAAGAAGAAAGGTGTGGACAAAGGCAGCGAACATACAAATGTGGGTCCAGCGAGCTAAGCCAGATATGGAGATGGCTTTCACCAGGAAAAGAAAATGAAGAAGGGGAAGGAGACATATTACTGTCTATACCTTGAAGAGTAGATAAGAATAAAATGTTTCCGTTGTGTTTGAGGTTGTAGATAAACTCCTGACAATGTAGAAGTGTTGGAAAATATTGAGCAACGCCGCAAGTTTAATAAATAAGCGTTTCATCACACTGGATAAGACTTAGAAGGGAGCATTTTTTCGAGCAGTTTCAACGGGGGAATCAAGATGAGCGTATATTGCTGTAAGCGGAACGAGGACACATCACTCATAAGGTGCTACTAAAGTAACAACAACATGGCTAGCGGGGGCGCCCTACATCGGGACACCGTCTATTTTTACGCCGACAGTCCGACTCGACCAGCGGTAGTAGCTGTGGTCGCCGCAGCTTTGCATATGTATGCATGCATGCATGCAGCAACAGCAGCATATTATAGCAGCATACACAGCCGCAGGGGCCCAACTACCTGAAATAGAGGGTGCGAGGAGATAAAACTATCTGAAAATTGTGCTTAGGTGAACACACACCCTGGACACAGTAACTGAGGATGCATGATGGATGAAAACGAAAGCAGTCCGACACAAGGCCTTACCGGTGATAAAAGAAAGGGTAAAAAGAAGTTTAGATAAAAAAAAAAGACGGACTCCCTCTTCTTTCGGAGAACATAGCTGGTACTTACTAGAGCGAGGAAGTAAGGATGTAGAGTTGTAGACAGAATCAGTTGTCGGACACAAACACTCCCGGATCGGTACTATACGCTTGTACGGCGGCGGCGGCACGCAACGTATCGTATCTATTTGACTGTGTATGTGGTGTGTTGAGCTCACGAGCCACTACTCTTGGCATTGAGATCAGCCGAGGCTGAGCTTACGAGCCACTGCTCTTGGCATTGAGATCAGCCGAGGCGAGCCAGTCATTCCAAGACAGCATGTGCGCACCCAGGCCAGGGGCGCTGGCAACGGCAGCAGGCGAGAGAAGCTCGTGAGAGCCGCCGTCCGTGCTGCCAGCTGCAGTAGCAACAGTGCTTCTCATGCTTTCCGGCTGTAAGCCAGACAGCTGCAGGAGGCTGTTAGTTAGGACTGTGGTGGATGAGGATGATGTGCACGACGACGGTGGCAGACCAGCAGTGGCGCCGGCAGCACCAGCAGCAGGAGCATGTGATATGGTCCAATGGTTATTCGTATTTCCCATAGTCACTAAGCTGGCGCTGGAGGAACTTACACTGCCGCCACCGCCAATGCTATTGCTCATTGTGCTGTTGCTGATCACATTGCCACCTGCGCGGTCCAGGCGACGCAGTGGACTCAGGGTGTTACTACCGGTGATGAGATGCGAGCCAGGCGGTATCTCCATCCACTCCGTGGACGACTGCGGGCTGCACAGGTTGCTAGTGGTAGCAATGATGCCATTGGCGGTGCTGCTTGCCGGCTGGTTCGTGGGCGGCATGCACAGGGTGGCTGATACCTCCGGAGTAAGGGAGCAAGTGGATGCACCGCTGTCAGGCGGCGATGGTAAGCAGTTGATAGCACTCTGCAGCATAGCCTCTTTCATCTGACTCTGAGAGAGTGGTGTGCCCGGCGAACACGGCATGTTATGCGATGTGGAACACGCCATACTATGCGACGTGGACATGCTGAGCGGCGGTAGCATACCCGCTGGCGACGCACGTCGGTTTAGAGTGCCGGCGGTCTGGCCACAGGACGGGCTACGGCGCTTGCTTGCTGGCTCCAAGCTCTGGAAATTCCTGACGGTGGCCTGCAGCGCATCCAGCTGCGTTTGCAGAGAGTGCTTGTGTTCTGTAATGGCTGATACGCGGTGATGTAGCACGGATTTATGTGTCTGAAGCAAACAAATAGCAAAGGTGAAGAGATAGAGATCGAGAGAGCCTTTGCTACAACCCAACTCAGCGTCGCAGTGTAAAGCAGTGCAGTAGGAGATTGCAAATACATGTAGGCCACACCACTTGCGGACATATTAAAAAAAACACACTCAACCCGGACCGTGCACTAAGCAGGTGCAGGAACAAGTACAATACACAGCCAGCCAGCCAGCCACATGCACAACTTCACAGGCAAGCTTACCTCCAGACTACCAACGGCTTCCTGGTTTCGTTGAAGACGGACCTGTGCAACAATCTGCCGCGTCTTCAGTTCCTGGATTTCCAAATCCCGAGCTGATGACACGCAGACAACAACAACATCATAGGCAACAACAGCAGGACTCAGAAGACCTTGCGCATACACGCAATGCAAACAAAATGGTTCAGTACGTCACTGCACTCAGCATTTAAATGTGTGTGCTTTTTATAAGCTCATGACTAGAGCAGTGCAGAGCATAGTGTTGGTAGTACTAGGGCTGCCACCACGTAGTCCTGAAGCTGTTGTATATGTGTATTCGTACTTTCATGGGGTTGCATTTTATTAGCCACCATTAAGCTACTGCTGGTTTTTCCTTGGAAACAACACAGCCCTCCCTCCCCCTTGTATCATGAACAAATGGGGGAGCCACAGTTCTTCTCTTGGCGCCTAAACAGTAGTCATTGTCCAGTGCATTAGGTCCTTTCTTTCCACACGATAGACAAGTTGATGATCAATGGCTCAGATAGGCAAGGCGCATGAATCGCCGGGCAAGTAAAGGCAGGGTACCAATGTCACAATGTACAACTGAACACTAGAGCAAAGGGCAGAAGCTTACATCGGTTGTCGTCAAAGAACTCTTCCATGAAACACTCGGCTTTGTGAGTGAGCAGCAGATCATCAACGGAACATGGTGGAACGGGTGCATTCGTACGGCTTTGGGCCTTGGTAGCAGCGCTTTTCTTCACATTCTGAAGATGTTTTCTGCCAAGGAGATGTTCCAGGTGATTGTGCTGAGTGGTGAAGAGCTGCTGACACAGCGAGCAATAGAGATCTTTGGTGTTCTCTACCTCCTGTGCTCACAAAGACAACACGGACACACATTGCAAAAGGCATTGAGCTGAATGAGTTCCACCGTGAATGGCAACTTCACAAACATGCGACAAAGGATGGGGGAAACGAAGCAAGGAAAGTGGCACCAAAGCAAAAGTTCACACATGTTACAAAATTGCTTGAAATATGCACACAGCTGACTTACAGAAGTATTCTTGAGAGCATCTACAACGTCAGCATCCATCTTCTCGGCAGTACAGTTTTCACCTGCAAAAGCCAGAGAATGGAAAGCAAGAGATTCAGCCATTGACCCAATAGCGCCTGACTTCAGAGGGGACAAAAGGCCACAAAGTGATTTCCAGCGCTGGGCTAGCAGCAGCAGCAGCAGCAGGGGCATTGCAAGGAATGAACTATGGCTGTAAGAAACTGCAGGCTAAGCCAGGTGGTGATGGTGGTGGCTGAACACAACAGTCGCACCCCACTGCTCCCCAGATTTACTCAACTAAGTTACAAATACGATCTGTCAATCAATGATCAACGTGAAACACAGATCAATGAGCTCAATCAAGAAGTCAAGATAATATCTGTCCCCACAGAATTACGCGGACAAAATCTTAAAATTATGCGCATAATTAAGCGGGTGAAAACAGACCATTATGCGGCAAATATGCGGGATCATGTGGCAAATATGCGGTATAATGCGGTCATTATGCACGAGTTATCTATCATTTGTACAACTTTAGAGTGCAGTTTCATGCAAGTATACAACTTTGTCGTACAAACTCATGGACCGGTACGACTTTGTAGTACATTTTCAACATCATGTGCTATTTTCTTGTACATTCCCGTGAATAACGCGGGTTTTATGCAAAATCTCTCGAAAACGCGGATGAAAGCCAATAACGCGGAAAATAGTGCGTCCGCGGAATCGCGGTATGCTGTGGGCACATATATCCTCTCGCAGCACTGCACTCCATGCTAAATCAGGCTTCACAGGGTCCACACATCATAGCAACCCCTAAAACAACAAAAATGCATTGACAGTACAGCTGCGGACGTGGAAATCCAGTGTCGAGACCGGGGGCCGGGGCTAGCCCTCCGGCTGCATACACATTTTCTCCGTTCTCTAATGCCCACAAGTGCACGTCGATACAGCGGCAATGCTATCAACAGGCAAGAAAAGGGAATAAGCAGTACATGTAAAGCATACCAAACTGCTCCTTGACCTTCTCACAGAGCGATTCAGAGTAAGTATCCGACTTCTGGAAAACTCTCAGCTCCTCGAGATAACGCTTCTTATCTGCTGCAGCTTTCCCTTCGTAGATCTAAACAGTGACACAACAAGAGAGGACCAATATGAAAATTACAAAACAGCCGGGAATACGGCAGAGACGAAATACACTCCATTCGACATTTCAACTGCTATGATATTTAAAGATTGTCAAGTGCTTATGGACAGTGTTCATTGATTTCGTGGACAGCTCCGAGATCGCACCGTCCCAAACAAGAATACAAAACAAGAAGTGCGATCTATATACATGTAGTACCCGCATTTCGGTTGTTGTCTACCTGTTGCTGTTTTAGTTAGAATCAGTTGACGTCGCGTCACCATGGCAATCAAAGTGCACCTCGTTCACGAGTCACTGTACCTCTTTTACGCATCACACAATTTGAACACGAAACGAAAATGACTTTGTACGATTTCGTAACGAGTCACTGGATCTCCCTAGCACTGCACACTTGACAGCCTTGTTCTAATTCCCGTTGCCTGCTGAAAAATCGGCTGGGAAGCAACACAGCAAAGGCGGGGGGGGGGGGGAGATAATCGGTACTTTAATCGGTACTTTAGTATAAAGTTACGCCTTTTACGGTACAGTAAAATCTGTTGTAAGCGACCTCTGGGTCTGGCGACCACCTGCTCTGAACGACCGTTTTTCCATGCACCGACAGTTCTACACAGACACGGTGGGACCTGGTTCTAAAGACCACCTGGCTTTAACGGCCGCTTTTGTTTGCACCGTGGGGTGGTCGCTTAAGGTGGCTGGGGCGGTACAACTTTTTAGGGGTCATTTTGGTCACATTTTGACTGCATTTTTGAGTTTATCGGCAAGGTGGAGATGAAATTTGAAAATATTTTCTGGTGAATCTCTGGAGAAGAGCCTTCTCTAGCCTCCTATAGTTTTAGTTTTACTTTTGGACAAAATTTGAAAAAGTATTATGAAAGGTCCGTGAAAAAATAACACGAACCTTTCATAAAACGTTTTCAAATTTTGTCCAAAAGTAAAAATAAAACTATAGCAAGCTAGAGAAGGCTATTCTCCAGAGATTCACCAGAAAACATTTTCAAATTTCATCTCCGTCTTGCCGATAAACTCAAAAATGCAGTCAAAATTTTCCCAAAAAAATTGTACCGCCCCAGCCACCTTAAACCAGGTTTTACTGTAGTTGATTTACGGTAGCATAAAGGGAGTTATACCATGGTACGGTGCGGAGGGCCTGTTTTCAGCCAATCAGCGCTCGTCTAGCCATGGTTATATTGGCCAGTATAAATCCCGCGCGGGATTTATATTGAATATAAATCCCGGTGCACGGTACGCACGCTAGGGCACTGCCACCGTACAAGTTCACTGCCTTTCAGGCAGTGAACTTGTACGACGGCAGCACTCCAGCGCACGGACCATTCACAACCAGGGAGTAGTACAATACGGTATTGTACTACTCCCTGTTCACAACAGACTCAACATACACCACATGCACGTGTACACTCCACACAGAACGGCATTACTGACGAGGAACAGTACACAATGGAAAAGAAGAATGACCTGGAATTCGTCTACCGAGTATTCTACTTCAAGTACATGTATTATACTGAAACTGAGGATAAAGAACGTCAAATAACCACGAAGTATCCCGAATGGGTCAGCAATGTACATTGTACTTCAAATAGTTGAAGATCATCAACAGACTGTCTCCTTCGTAACTAAGTATATGATACAGAGTGTACTTCAAATCCACCTAAACCGATTGGAATAACGCTAGAATGGATTGAAATGTGATACAGTGATACAAAACAGTGCATGCAAATGCATCTACAGTCCATTTCAAAACTATAGACGCGTACCTAGGCAAAAACCGTTATGCCAGCATCTATACCACATAAAATCTGTGATCACTTTGTGCATAAATTTTTCCAAATTGGGCGTCTGTTATCCAATCCTTTAGAAACTATATGAGAGTAATTGTGGAGCGATCCTGAGCAATATTCCGAAAACTATTCTCAAAAAGTTCCAGCCAAATTTGAAATATTTTAAAAACCCTACGCGTCTATAGTTTTGAAATGCACTGTACTTGCAAGTAAGCAAACCTGATTATAAGATGCCGCATGTGAAAATCAGCACTGTACCATAATCATGATAATAGTAACACTTACTCCCAAAGAGTCCAAACTGTACTGTAGTCTAACTAGTGACGGCAGTGTGATTCAACGACAACTCCAGCACCCCAGCAATTCAGTTGACTTCCGCATCGCTCGCGAGACAAATATGCTACAATATGCACTGGAACTGAAAGGAAATCTGATGCCAAACATCCACGGAGGAATCTCCTTCTGATCTTACTCGACCATTCTTTCAATTGACAACTGATAACCAGCAGAACATGTTCATGTACTGTATGATGTAGGAGATCTCCAAAATAGGTTCGTTGTTCTGGAAATGCGTAGGGGTGCCTGGCATAAGTAGGATATGACCCTCGTAGTCGGGTTATACCGTACCCTCATATAAATCCCTCCTGCTATCGCAGTCGGGATTTATATTCAGCCGGTATAACCCTCTGACTCGGGTTATATCCTCTACGCATGCATCGAAAGTGACCGCAAACTTTTTAGGGGACAACTCGTTTCATATTCGGGAGATACAACTAAAGTTCCACACAGCTGAATGGTCTCACACTGTGTACGGTTGTAGGCTGACTTGCCCTACAAATCACATGGATGGCACCATGGTCCTTATTCCCACTGATTCATCAGCTGATGTGTATGCGCTTGGGGTTAGTTGTGCACTGTAGTAAAGTACATTCTTGTGCAGTATAGTAGGCTTACAGGATACACATTTCATCCCCTATATCGTTCATATTTGGCAGGGTTCAGTACACAGCATATACCAAGTTGATGGAAATGTGTAGTATTCTTGTTGCGCGCAATCTGAGAATTCCCAGAATGCACAAGCAATCTGCAGATTGCGCAGGCATGCTTGCGCATTCTGGGAATTTTCAGATTACTTCGATCATGACTGCTATTATCGGAGACCTGGGCTTTTATTAGAGAATAGGGTAAAAGGGTCAACGAATATTCACTATGAGAAATATTCGTTCCAATGTGGCAAACCGAACGAATGTTCGAATATTCGGTGTATTCGTTTCACCACTAGTTTCTTGAAACAATGATAGCACAATCTCTAATAGTAGCGCAGGTAGAGTTGCCATTGAAATACTTGTAATAAGAACCCCGGGCTCCAATTAGAGAAAATACGGTACCTCTAGCAACCTTGAAATAATGTAGCATCTCACACGGTCCTAACATGCAACACAGAAGCACCGAGATGCAATGTGCAATGTAAGCGCGTGCACCTGGCACAGGCTAGGTGAACAAAAACCCACCTTTTTCTCCTCCTCAGACAGGCCTTGCCATTTCGCGGCCAGATGCTTCATGTTTTTGGTGAGGTGACTATCTTTCGTTCTGCCCATGGACTTATACTGGTCGGAGATGAAAAACTGCCACCTGCTCAAGAGGGAAATTGATAAAAACAGGGCGTAACAAAGAATATAATTATTGACTGTTGATAAATACCCACACTCATTTGTGACCACACCATCAACAGTAGGGAGGTTCTGCTATACGTGAAACGTAGAGAAATCACGTAGAGAGCAGGTGTCTGGGTTGGAGTCTACGGCTTCGCGTGTTTTGGCTCCAGATTTCTACGCGGAGATGGGGTTCTCTACGTTGTGGCACACGCAGAGAAAATGCGTACGGATTTGCTGGGTATCGATCAACTGCATGCAGAAAACTACCAAATATGGAAGGGGAAATTCCCAGTACACATTCCACGTGACTTCTCTAGGTGAAACGTAGAGCAGAACAGCATTTCTTTACGTTACGGGAACGCGAAGAAAGTTCGCGTGATTCTTTGCGTCGCGTTCCCAACACGTAGAGCAGAACCTCCCTAGTATCAAATTCAAATAAATTGGCTTCGACTCAATAAGTATATACCACTGCACTTTTCCATGTAGCACTGCACTTTTCCCTAAAAAGGAGTATTTCATAAACAGTATTTATTGGCCTTTATAGTGGTATTTTATAAACAGTATTTATTGGCTTTTGACCCAATAAATACTGTTTCTAAGATATTTATTTAGAAACGAAAACTCGTCGTTTAGGGGGAGGGGTTGAGCGCCTGTTCATTGTGATGACAATTTCTGATGATTATCACATGAAAATGACGTTCAAATTTTAACATATTGTTCAATTGTTCTCGTGGTATGAGTGCGCTCATTTTACTTTCGTCAATATTAGGCTACTACATTTATTATACATCTGTTGACCTTCACTTTCCCTTTTAAAAAGGGGTATTTTATAAACAGTATTTATTGGCCTTAGGGGCCATCCGCGAAGGGGAGGGTTGAAATCAACCCGGGTCAAGAAAATCGTACAAACGTACTTCTGTGCGTATCTCGCGCCAGGTTTGAACAGCACTGCAGATGCAAATTTCGCGCGAATGAATTCACGTGACCATACAGGACTGTAGAAGTGGATTTTTGGCGGCATATCAGTATTTGACCCGAGTCAACTGTCTTCATGTAAGCGCTCACCTCTTTTGTCTATCGTACAGACTTTCAACCCGGGCTGAACTCGACCCGGGTTGAAATTTCTTATGTAAACACAGCCTTAGGTTCACGATCTCACATATGCACGCACTCGCACACTCGTACTCACCTGTACACTCTCGTACTCACCCTTGTTCCCTTTTCTAACCTTTTCTTCCGTTGGCCTGGGTAGCTGGATTCGCGCTTTAGCACATTCATTTCCATAGCTACCCAGGCCCTTGATAAGCTCTGACTTGGACATTTTCTCTCTCTCTTTCCAACGAATCTCGACTTGAGACTGGAGTTATTGACCTTCGTCCTTTTGTGACCGTGGCTGTTGCGTGTGAGATCCGGTGATCCTAACACGACTACTAGTAAGACTCTGGGACTCAGCCATTACCGAAAGCAGCCCAATGAAGAAGACGATCATGGCGCAGCTAAGCGCCTAGATGCTGCTACAGAATTTGATGGGGATGTTGATGAAGATGCCGTACAGGAAATCGACTCCATCGTCAATGAAGCCATCGAAGATCGCTCTGCTCCGCAACCAAGTAGTAAACAGTCTGCCTTCCCGGCCACACAGATCCTGGACAGTGATCTTGAGCAGTATATCGTCTGGTGCATTAATCGCATCGCCACCTCAGAGAAGGTTGGCAGAGAAGTATCTGCGAAACTCGGAGCTGCCAGACAACATGCTCGTGATAAAACATACCGAGAATGGATAAGTAACAAAGTATCCAAGCTGTGTGATGCTGCTAAGATTGCCGCGGCAGATCACCTGATCACAGTGCAGATATCATCGTTAGACAAGAAACTGGCTACGGCGACAGGGATTATCCAGGAGGCAGAGGCTGACATCCAGAAGTCAGTTTCATCCTCCTCTGCCTTCATCGCAAAACTGGATCACAACTCGGTTTCAATACTCGTTGGACTTACGCGCATTTTCATCACAATGATAGTTGGACAACAAAGGAAAGATATCCTCCAATAGTGCTAGTTTTAGAATATCGGTGTTTTTTTGTATTAGTTTTAGATCTAATAATGTTCACCTTATGGTACCATAAATATCTTTCCTTTGTTGTCCAACTATCATTGTGATGAAAATTTCTAAGGATTATCACACATGAAAATGACGTTCAAATTTTAACATATTGTTCAATTGTTCTCGTGGTATGAGTGCGCTCATTTTACTTTCGTCAATATTAGGTTTCTTGTCTCCACGCCGACTTTTAAATGTACATACAATTATATACGGTAATTATATTTTTGTATGTTGTAGTAGCCTCAGGATTTATTGCAATCACATACCAGTTATAAAAAAACTCGGGGGACCTCGGTTTTTATACTGGTACAGTCAGACCTCGTTTATCCGGTCCTCGTTTATCCGGATCCCTCGCCATCCGGAAGAAAATCGCTGGTTACCGATGTGCAGCATATGTTATGCATACAACATAACCGGACCTCGCGATCCGCATACCGGTGCATGATTTTGTGTACAAACTGGTTAAAATGTGTACAAAAAGCTTCGTCGTATCCGGTTGCATGTGGCTGGCTAGCGCTTGGAGAAGCTAGTGTCAGGGAGTTGTACAAGCAAATGAGGTCCTTGACCTGCTGGGTGTATGCGGACAGCACTCAGTTGCATGCACTTGTCATTTTTCTCGCTTGTTTTACATACTGGACACGCTAGTTGTACTGCATAAGACCTGTCTACATGTATGTACGATGTCACTGCTTTTGACATGCCACATGCATATACAGTATGTGTGTTCAGTTATCCGGTTACCTCGCCTATCCGGATGTTTTTTGTGGAAAACAGATGTGTGCGGTTAAGCGAGGTCTGACTGTATGTAATTGCAATAAATCCTTTGGCTCTACATTTATTATATACGTAGGCAAGAGTACATGAAAACCAGAGTGTGCAGCTTGGGGCCTTTTCTGCTATGGGTGTCTGTCACGGCGAAATTCCGTGATTACATCATATTTGGCCCAGATCTGAGGCGGGAAATGGCGTAGTGCGTACAACTGAGCTGCAGTTGTGCAGAAAGAGACCTGCTTGAATCCTGCTTGTACGCACTACATCACTAAAATGATGTAATCACGGAATTTCGCCGTGACAGCAACCCATCCGAGCTGCACACTCTGGTTTTCATGTACTCTTGACGTAGGCTAAGGGGCTATCCGGCATTACCGATAATTTTCACGAAACGAAAAAGTTTAGTCAGGACCCTCCCCCACCCACCCACCCCCCCTGAACGAAAAATAGATTGACTTGACAGCAAGGATGGCAACGACTTACGAAGATAGCACGGGCCTGGGTTCACCAAACTCTCGTCGCGAGCGAGGTTTGCCTTTGGGCCAACCACCTTTTGCCGACTGCACAACAAAGAACCCAAATGAAGAACAGCGAAAACATCCAAAAGATTTTGCCAACAGTGCTGTGAAGTAACACTTGATTCACTGTCCTATGACAAGGCTGGGGTCAGCCAGAGACCTATCAATGCTAATCAAGGACACCGTCATTATACGTGATGCCCCCCCCCCCCCCCCCCCCCCAGGACGCATTTTAGGGACAAACAATGCACCACAGCAATATGCTTCGGCAAAACAACAAGCACATACACACACAATACACCAGGTACATTGCATAGACATAGCTCGGGACAACGACAGAAACTGACCTTAGGCGATGTCAGCCTGCCATTAGTAGTCACAGAAGTAGAAGGTACAATTGTGGCACCAGCGTACAGTGGGGAACACACAGATGCAATGGGAGTAGGAAGAGTAGTAGCAGCAGAAACAGTGGCACTAGGAAGAACACTAGCATCACTGGCACTGGCCGGAATGCCAGGAGAAGACTGTTCAGCAGGGGAAAACACAGAAGTAATCGGAGAAGAGACAGTAGCAGCAGCAGGAGAACCAGCAGCAGCAGTAGCCTGCATAGATGTGGCCTTGGAAACCGGGGTGATTTTAGCCCTTACACGCTTGCGCTTGCGTTTGATAGCAGCAGTCTTGGATGGGTCGTGGAATATAGATTTCATCGGGCCACCGAGTCCGACATTTGTTCCGCTGGGACACCCCACTGATGAGGATAGAGGTGAGAGGACTATTCCTGTCGAAGCGGGGGACCCCACAATGCCTACAGATCCTGCTGGACTAGTGATAGAAGGACCATTCAAGGGCATGTGGCTGGAGATAACTGAGCATGGAGGAGGGAAGGTCTTGGCTGTGGGATTGTGAGCTACAGCGTAGGTAAAGCTGGTGCGTTGCGGCACGGTCGAATTGCTGTGTTCACCCACTGATGATGTAGGACCAAATGAGCCAACAGATGCAGCTGAGCGACTCGAGATGCGTCCAACAAGCGGTCTGGGACTGGTTGGGTTGGGCGAAGGGCGCAGGAGGTCCGGCCGCATGGCACTTGTCGGCACCATGCTTGGCATCAAACCTGCCGCGCTATTCGGATCAGCAGGTAGCCGTGAGCTAACCACTCCAGGTCCAGATGCTGAGTTGCAGTACTGCATGTGCGGTGCTGCTGCTGGGGACATTGTCTGGCCGCCATGGAATGCATGAAAGAACTCAGAGTGTTGAGAAAATGACGGCGTCTGGGGAGAGGGAGGACCGGCCGAGCCGGTACCATTGGGGGAATAGCGTGCATGCATGTTGACCGTATTGCCTGGCATGTGAACCATGTCAGGACAGAAGGAACGCTGCAGGCCAGACACAAAGCTTGTAGGTTGCTGGCAATCTAGACTAGGCGGGCCGCCACCAGGCGTCATTGACGTGACACCGGCCATTGACATCAGCGACTCTGGTGCCAACGCCAGGAAAGAGTCTAGCGACTTGTTCGTCATGTCACTTCCAGGCACCAGTTGTGTGGAAGAACCTTGGCACCAAAAAAAGGGATAGAAACGGGAAATGAAAACAATTAGTTGACTATACATGTATTTGTTGAGTCACCTCCAACATTAAACTGCGCTCTTTAGCCGACTAGACCCTCCTGCACACAACCATCACCATTGCGAGGACACTTCCGTAGACGATATTGATAAACTCCTTCAGACAGCTGTTTCGCTAATACATAGTAAATCAGTGAAGGTAGATGTTGAATGATTAAAAATATGGTTTGGTCTATATTTCTAAAACAAAAAATCTAAATATGGTCTAAAATATGGTTTGGTCTATATTTTTAATCATTCAACATCTACCTTCACTGATGAGCTATGTATTAGCGAAACAGCTATCTGAAAGAGTTTATCAATATCGTCTACGGAAGTGTCCTCGCAACGGTGATGGTTGTGTGCAGGAGGGTCTAGTCGGCTAAAGAGCGCAGTTTAATGGTGGAGGTGACTCAACATTTTCTTCAATGGCCGAGAGCTCTGTCGCACCCTGTAATAATACCGTAAAGTACCGCCAGAGCGCCCCACCATCTCATCCTTTCGTGGTCGTATTGTGGAGGTGGTCTGCATGTAGGTCATACGACATGAACCTTGTACACATTATAGCACGTTTTGCAGTCAATCTGTACCTTCGAGCGGACACAAGCTCCACACAAAACCTGCCAAGTGTGACCTTAGTACACTAAGATTCTTACATCGTACAAACTTCGTTGCACTCTGCCATACGATTTTCCTTTCTCTGGCTGTAAAATCAAGGTGGGGCGCTCTCGCGAGACGGGGCGCTCTGGCGGTACTTTACGGTACATGTATTTGAAAGTACAATGATAAGGACACGTACGTACTGTGTCACGTTGTGAGTTAGATACTGTAAAGTCAACAAATATTCAGCGCATATTTATTTTCGGCTATTTTTGGCCTGGTCATGTTTGGCCGAAAATTTATTGCGGCCGAAATTTTGTTTTGCAAAGTTCCGTGTGACAGTGTATACAAGCGGCAGCAGTACAGGCCGAAAGTCTGATGCGGCCGAAATGGGTTTTAGCCCTGGGAGGCCGGAATTTGAATGGGGCAAAAATGTGTCGACTTACAGTATGGTGCAATACACCATACAGCACGAGCAAATGTCTTCCAGGGTCAGGCCAGGCGGAACCGGTCCGGTTGGTCTGGCCATGGCGGACCAACATTTTGGCCACCCAAGTGTGTGTGTGCTGAGGAGGTCAAGTTTACCCACTACGTGTACAATCATGCATATCATACGCAATGTATGAATAGTATGGCCAGACCAATCAAAACTGCTTCCCTGGTCCTGAGTGTTGGTGCTCGGTGCAAGGTGATTTTCACATTCACTAATTCCACTTATAGTGGTCCCTGAACTATTCGATCTATACAAAAATTTCGTTTTTTCTCATTCTAATACGGCAATAATCATTGCATCAAAAATCGAACCCCGCTGTTTAGTATCTGCCTGAAACCTTCACGTAACACGTATTGTAAGAGAAGCAGCTCACATACCTTCTGCACGCACTGGAGATGGAAGGTAGTTGGTGGTTGAGGGCATTGTACGCCTGCTGTGAAAAAATAGCAGAAATGCAATTAACGGAATGCAAGCGTCAATTAGAACATGCTGGAAATACAATATCCGTTGCCATCTGTGAGTTTCTTACTTAATTTCAGGGCCGGTCGGCCTACCGACAATGTCGACACCGATATTATCCGCCAGCAGAGCATGGCTGTCAATATCCTGTAGTGAGCTTGTGGCTAGCTCGTCCAATCCAGTCGAAGCTGCCAGGCCTTCGCCTGCATTGCCCTCCGCTGAGGTACGAGCTCGCCTCGCAAGTGCATCTATAAACGCCAGTTGGTCGAAAACGTCCGACGACAAATCTAGACCACCAGAGTATTCTTCATCAAATCCATGGAAAAATGCTGTCGACATTTTCGTTTCCTAAGTAAAGGGTTACCACCGCACACTGGCAGTAGGCACACCAACAATTAACTTCTATCGGAGATAAGACTGAAGGATAGCATGCTCCATTATTTTTCGATGAGTGGGTGAATGGAGGATCAGAGGGGAGAGGAAGAATGGTGACCGAGACCAAAGAAATTGGAAAGTCCGGCCGTAGTACTAGTAGAACCCTACGGCTACGGCCACGTGAATGAAGTGTACCAGCGTCCATGACTTGTAGTAAGCAATCAAATCCGGCGGCCGACCCGGCGAATTTTTCGAAACCAGAATTTTTGTAATGCCAGCGACCGAAAATTTGTACAATAGTAGCGCATCTGTGTACAGCAGTACAGTGCGCAGCGTACAAAGTTCATACAATTACGACCAGGCCTGCAGGGAGCCCTAAAACTAGTAAAAGTTACACATACCATATTAAATAGGTTTGTGCAGGGCTCCCTGCTGATTACGACTAAAAACTGACGACGAATGTGTACCGGATGTACACATACGTACATACACATACCTTCTGCGAGATGTTCCTTTTTCGGCAAACTAGTTCTGTACACATTGCATGGGAGTACGTCATTTCCTAAGCTCATGGCGTTAAGGCCGTCATCACACCACGTTCACCGACTCCCGTTTACGTCTACGTCTATGGTGAAAAAACCAAAACGGGTGGTCGTGTCATCAGACAGGCACAGTTCTTGACGCGTACACGCAGTCAGGTTTTTGGAGAAATTTGAACCCACGTACATCGAAGTACAGGGTCGCTCGGAAAAAGGCTGGGGGAGATACGCACGTTCATACAAAAAGTCATATACCCCCCCCCCCCCCCCTCTCCATACCACGTCTACGTCTCCCGTTTCCTCTGCTCCCGTTTTCACCCCGTATACGGATCATCATGACAACCGACCAAAAACTCCTTACGTGGACATGACGCAGCGCTTTGTACCAGGGTGTGATGACAGCCTTATAGAGAGGTTCCGCATAACGTAATTACGTTAGTAAAAAACGTAGTCGATCTACGGAAAGTCTTACGTAAACTGCACGCGCATCTGTGTTCCGCCATACGGAGTTTTCAAATCACGTAGCTGCCCTTGGCAACTCCGAACGCGGCAGTGTACGACCAGATCGACCTGAGGAGAGAGTCATAAATTTGTACCCCAATCCACTTACGGACCAGCTACGTTATCAGAGCCCTATCTACGTACTCTACGTAGACAACTTTCCGTAAGTGGAGTGCAAACTCGCGAATTCACGGGTTTTCCCCGCCCACTAACGTAAAGTTGCTCAACTTTACGTAGTGCGGAACCTCTCTAATATTAGGGACCTTTCGCATTTGCTACGAATCGAATGCGAAACGAAAGTTTGATTCGGCTCGTAATCGTTTCGTTGAAAGTAGATTCAGGTTTCGCAAATGTGCATGGCAACTACGAATACGGCCGTACGGGTGTTTACACGCACACGTGCATGGATCATGGAATCAAGGGAAAAAGGTGTACCTGGCAAAACATGTGAACCTGGCCAAATAAATGTGTACCTGACGGATTCGGAGCACGCCACGAATGAAGAGGCTTCCAATCGTGAAAACGAGCTCTCCGCAGGGACTCTGACGAATCCTCGAACCCAGGTGACGAATCAGCATTCGTTTCGTATCCGTACGCGTGGTGCGAAAGGTCCCTATTACCGTAAAATCCCGCCCGAGCGCCCCGTCTCTCCCATCCGCCCCTCCCTGGCTTCTTGTCAGGGAAGTGATTGATTGTATCCTCGTATGACTCTGTGCTACCGTACTGTACTGCAGACGCGTGCTTGACCCTGTTGGAAATGTACGCAACAGTGCCCACCCTCTTAGCCAGGGATCGCACAAACCCTGAGTTTTGCCGGGTCTGTAGTACAGACTCTGTACGACTCCTGGCTCTTGACCTTTGGTCGGTGTGCGAGATGCACAAATAGTTTTGGCAGGGTGAGTACTTTTTCATGTAGTACTGAATGCGGCAAGTAGGACTCGCCCATCCGCCCCTCCCAACGAAGCGTCGAGGAGGTAGGGGTTCTGGCGGGATTTTACGGTACTTACGCTATTCCTCTCCTCCAAGGCTCCATTCGCTCTTCAGTCCACTAGCTGGAGCTACCGTCCAGGGAGTCCTAAAATACCTTTTACGACTCCCTACTACCCGGCACCCGTGTGTTATTTTCTTCCTATCATACCCTAGTTTCTCATAATAATTATTATTATTGTTGTGTTGCTTTTGCCCGTAAAAGAGGCTGTTCACCCTAATACCCGCACTATTTTTGTCGTGTTTAATGGCTAGCGAGAGTAGCAGCTAGTCGGCTGAAGAGCGCGTGAAGGAGACAGGAGTAGAGAACTATTCAACGATACTGTTGAACGTCCAAACGGCACCGCTAGTATTGACTATTGTATATTGCCGCGTGCAGATAGTTACACGGCTACAAGGCCAGCATTTCCGACTGCGCACACTGCGTATACCGTACTTCCCTGATTATAAGTCACACTTGATTATAAGTCGCAACCCATTTTCAGGTCTGAGCCAAGTTCTCCTAGTAAATACATTCACATAACTTAGGAAGTCACACTTGATTGTAAGTCGCACACCCTGCGTTGCCCTTGAAGTTTAGTGTAACTGGAAAAGGTACAGGTGTGACTTACATTCGGGGCAATACAGTACATTTTCCAGAAACTTGAGTGGGGTTATTCGCGAGGTTGAAGATATGCAGTCATTATGGTCACTAGGTCTGATATTCAATCTTTGGACATCTAACTTAGCTGTTTAGACCTTGGTCCCATCAGCTACAGCCAATCAGGGTCCTCCTCGAGTAGTCTGGTATTGCCCGCTCAGACGCCCCGCACAAATGTCAGTGTATTTCCCGCTGACTCGATTAGATAACTCTGTGCATACCCCGGCAGTTGTGAGTATAATCAGGGCCCCCACTTCCCCTGGGCAGGTCATTATTTTGGTGTGATTGATCGTATCGGACAAAATCAATTGCTCCATCACTGGCACATGTACATGTATGACAGTCGCCAAAAGAAGCAGCTTGCTCAAGAAAAATGGAGGACCCTACGGGCGACGAGCAAACACAGAGTAGCCTGACTCAACCAGGGTTCTAGCTAGGTCAATATAGTAGGGGGGGGGGGGGGGGGGCGGGCATGGGAAAAAGTAACCCCGTGACCCATTTTTTTCCATTGTCCAAAATTGTCTTGCCATGCAAAATGTAACATACAGGGTGAACCCCGACTTCACCCCTCACAAATGTGCCTTTATGAACCCTCTAGTAGTAGTGACTATCGACTGTATTTTCGTTGAATGGCGTGAAAAAACACAAAAATCGGAAAATGAGTAGGGGGCGGCACTTTTTCACAGGGGGCGCGCAAACGGAGTAGGGGGGGGGGGGGGCGCTGCGTCCCCCCTACCCCCCCCCCCCTTTGGCTAGAACCCTGTCAACGTAATCTCAATACACAAAGAAATGTCTGCCTACCTATCACTGGACTTGCACGTCTGTTCACTCCAAATGCAAGACGGTGTTGGTCCCGATGTGGGCTGTCCTTCTGCAGTAAAGCCTTCATCGACTAACGGTTCGAAGAGTTGGAGCATCCCACCTTGAAAACAAATTAGAAACGTAAACCGTGAGAATCTAAAGTGTTTCCCTTCGTTGCATGTATCTAGCATTGCTGCATTATATTCAAATAAGGGCGAGGAATATTAACGCAACCCACAAACACACAGTCACAACCTATGCAACTCAAAATCCAAGCGGATGTAAAAGGACTTGAGTTGCTTGCTTGCGCATTCAAACCGCATCCGTTCTTCCAACACTAGTAGTTGTGTTGACTTGGTTACATGCGGGTGGGTGGTGATCATGCACACAAAACAGCACTGTATGAAGCACAGTGCATACGGCGGAAGCCCGTACCAACGCCCACCCGGTATAACGCCCGCTGCCCGTGTACACGTCCAGGTGCCGGGTGTCAACACGTTGGTCCCATTTTCTAGCCCACCTCCGTGTAAACGCCCATGGGCAAAAGCACAGGCCCAGTACACAGTGCAGTGCATGCACAGATCCACGTGCATGCACGGTACTGTAGCATAACTAACTTCTTATTCAAATATAATAATTATGCAGTCCACTGAGCTAACCTTGTACGTACATGTACATGTACATGCGGCAATACGGCACTGTGATGTGAAAATAAATCTGATTTCACTTATCCGAAATAGCGCCCGGGACCAAATTGACGCCCACGTTCTGGACCTTCACTAACGTTTCCGCCCAAGGCCTTACTACAGTGGTGACAACTAAAATCCGACCCCAGCTTGGTGTACTCACATAATAATAAACACCCAGCACGTGCTTGTAGCACAACGAAATAGAGACCGCTACATGTAGAACCGGTGCTGGACTTGAGCACGAAAATCAGGGATCGGATTTCAGTTGCCGACGCTGCAGTAGAAAAGAAGTTGTACATTCACATACATGTACACCCACCGTCGACAATGTTTGTACCGGTAATAGTGATAACTGTTGTCCAATGCAAGGGCCTAGGCTATAGGGCCTAGCTAGGGAGGGAGTTCAGGAAATGTACTCTCCTTTTCGTGTTTACAGGTCTATCCAAGTATAGTGTAGGCCAAAAATGGAACAGGGCCTAGCTGGACTATTATACTATAGACTAGGGCCAGAGCTAGGGCCAGGGTATGTGTACCATGGTGTACAGCTCGTAACTCATCATAACCGTATGTATGGCAAAGAAATCGCGGAGCAGAGAGTGCCCCCCCCCCCCCCCCCCCCATCCCAGTATTCTGCGCGTTGCGGTACGAGTACGAGTACGTATACGAGAATATGCTGCCTGATTAATTGTTGGGCCGATTACGGAATTGTACGAAAAATCCTCATAAGATCTGCGCGAAAATTGCCTTGTAGTTGTACAATTGTGTGGACAGCCGTACGGTGTTGTCGCATGCGCGTTTCCGACGAAGTTGTGTCGGTGTGTATTATTTTTTATAGATGCGGGTACGAGTCGTACTAGTACAGGTCGAGGTCCGATCCATGGGATCTAGTCGGCCGATTTCATGTCGGATCGCGGAAAAACCAACTAAACCTACAACCGTACTCTACTACTGCACTACAAGAAAGAAAGTATTGCCTACTATTGGTGCAACTGCA